TTAATCCAAAAGATGTTGTCCAGAAAAATTCGAGATTTAATCTAATTAAATGTCATTTTATATAAAATTGCGAAAAATTAAATCCGAGGTTTCATTTTATAGGGACTTAAATGTGGGTGAAACATGAGGACTAAAGTGACAGGCGGTGAAAGATATGGACTCAAGCGCATCGCAACATACAAACGACGTCGTTCATTGCTAAAAGTGGAAAAAATAAAAGGAGGTTAGGGTTCAGTCGAAACCACTCCCCCGCCCCCCAAAAAAAAAACCCGGCGCGTCCTCTGCCTTACCTTTCCCATTCGACTCCAGCAAGATGGACCCTACGGCCCTACCTTTCAACAAGATGGAAAAGAGGGATTCCAACTTTGTCCCTTTTGGATCTACGGTGGGGAGGAAGAAAGAGGAAGATCGGAGGGCTCCGGGCAGATCTGAGGTTTTCATTTGTTTTTATTTCTTGGGTATATATATACACCCAAGAAACAACAGCAGGGGAGTCTCTGGGAGTCTCCGTCTGCGTTTTGAAAGCAGTAGAGGGGAGAGAAACAACCGCAGATCCCGGCCAGATTCCGGTGACATTTTGGTCTCCTTTAGCTAGGTAATTTCCAGATCCGAACACTTAAGGGGCGCCTTCGGGTTTTTTGCCTCCAGGACTATAAAACGGTATACCCGGAAGCATGACAACCTACAAAGAGCCTCCGACGTGCCTGTTTTTTCATTTTAAGTATAGATCTATGGATTTGGGATGATTTTATTGATGAATTTTCGGTTGAATGTACTGTGAATTTGAAAATCATGAATATACATGCCCAAATCTCAGATATTTCACTGTATTTGGTGGCATTTGGACTGCATTAGCTGCTAGTGGTGTTCTGTGATTGTTCTGCATTTTTCTGGGGTTTTCTACCTTTTTTTAGACGTCCCCGGAATCTGGAAATTCTGGCCGATATTTCCAGACTTCGCCGGGTTCTGCGGAATGGGTTACTGCCGGCTGCTGGACCCCATACTCAGATTTTGCCAACAGGTCCGTGTTTCCTCTTTGTTTTGGGCCAGGCCCTATTGCATTTCTGGTGGGCTCACAAAAAACAGAAAAAGTTAAAACCTAAAACGGGCCTAGACCAACCAAGGCCCAACTGATTTTGACCCAACCCATTGGTTTGTATAAGTTAATTATTGGCAAAACCCTATATTGAACTCTCAAACTTAGTCTAGATTCTCGATTAAGTCATTAGATTTTTATTGAAACAAATAAAGTTTTAAACTTAGCCATTTCAGCGGCTTAACCTTTTATATATATATATATATAGTAGATTTAACGTATTTGCAGTGTTAAAGTCAGTACTCACTACGTTGTCAATAATATATTAATATTTTATTTATAAAGAAAAGATTACTACTTAACTATTTAATTAATTAGCTCGGCAAATCCTTACTTTTATTTACTTCAATGTAACATGTACGTACCAATTCCTTTGAATTAGACCCAAAGCTTTCAATTCTCATTCTCATACCCATACATGTTTGATTTGTTTCACTTAAGGCCATTAACTTATGTTGAAATAAACGTGCCAAATTTAAAATATATAACCTTGTTTTATTCAAAGGACTGAGAGAAGTTTGTATGTCCTCCTTTTCTTCTAATCAAATCCCTGAGTCTCGGGTTTTATGTAAACTTATTTTAAATCACTTATTCTATTTTATAATTTAGATTAGTGATGACTTTAATTTTATAATTATTTAAAATTTAATTTCTTAAATCTAATTCATAATTTTGAAATTTTCAGTTGGGGTGTGAACAGACAACGAACTGGTAAAAGAAAAGAAAACGAAGACCGCCAAAAGCAGATGCAAAAGAAGCTGAAAAACCACTAAAGAAGGACAACGGGCTAAGGAGGACTGTCCGCTGGCTCTTCAATTCTCAAGGAGACAAAGGGCTTCCGAGCACAAAAAAAGATTAAATTTAATAAATAATCTATTAACTATATAGTTTATTTTAGTTTAGTTTAAAAATAATTTTATTTTTCAAAATAATTTATAAACTATTAATTTGTTTCAAAATGGTCCACTTGACAAATATTTCGTTAATT